AAAATGATGAGCACAGATGAAGAAGGTATCAAAACTCTTTTGGATACTGCCACAGTTTCTTTTCTTAATTGTATCGATCTCTCTAGTCCTAATATTCAAAACTCTGTTTCTCTACTCAAATAGGTAGTCTCTCTCTCGATCTCTCTCTCTATGTATAGATATATATAGGGAATCATGTATACGTACGAACATTAATATGTATACACAAACACACACACTCATATAGTAATACCAAACAGTAACAAGCTCACCAAAGAAATAGTAACATCAAACAGTAACAGACTCAAAAAAAATAGTAATATCACTACTACCATTGTGGTGGTGGAGGTAGGAATAAGGTAGTTGCAGAGAAATAGTTAAAAAAAGGACAAAACTAGAATAATATTAATTTTCAGACTTCAACTTTTTTTATTTTTCAAACAGTTTTATTCAATTAAATACTTAAATTTTAGTTGATACCAAACAGTTTGCGAATTAAAAAATTCAGCATTCAGTTTTCAGTTTTATCAATCACCACCTAAGTTAATTTTTTCTTCATCCAAGAGCTAAATAGCCTCGAGTAATAACACTTATGCTCTATTTGGTATGATGGAAAACTGAAAGGACGGAAAGTTGAAAGGATAGAAAGTTGGAAGGATGGAAAGTTTGAGGAATAAATAAAATATCATGTTTAGTAAGGAAGAAAAATAGGATGGATGAAAAAGTGGATGGATAAGCTTTCCTTCCAACTCACCAAAATCAATCCCTAAAAATCTGAACGAAAGTGGATGAAAAATTAATTATTTGTGTGAATTTATATCTTATTTGTCTATTTATCTTTTGATATATACATATATTATGTATAGATTAATTTCAAATATAAATTCAATGATAAAATATGTATTTATATTTTTTAAACAAAAGAAAAAAAAGAAAAAAAAATTAATTTTCCATTTTATTTAGGGGTGTAAATTTTTGACTTAACACGATAACACGACTCGAACTCAACATTAATTTTATGACACAAACTCGAAAATGATTTGACACACGAACACAAAATATAAACGGTTCATATTCAGTTGAACCCGACAAACTCAAAATTAACACATCAACTTGTTTATTTAAGAATAAACACTTTCTCTATTTTCTCGTTTATATTGTAATACAAAATTAACATATTTAACTGGTATTATAAACATAAAATGCTAATTATTTATAACTATTTATTAAGCACTGATATAATTATAATATAAAAAATATATTTTCACCTATTATTATTATTATATTTATTTAAGTTAATTTTTAGATTATAAAAAAAGTATGAGCATGGATTTAATTAAGTCAAAATAAAATATTAGCATTAAATTTTTTATTCAAAGTTTACGTGGGTCAACATAAATACAAACACGAACACGATACAAAAATAAAACACGTCAACTCGAAATGACATGATTTGTTAACTGAGTTGAGTTATGTTTGACTAATGTTCGACATGAACCCGTAATGACTTGACATGACATGACTTGATCGTCACCCCTAATCTTAACAAGGACAAAAAAAGAAAAAATTAATCATTTTTATTTTCCATCCATCTAACTAAACACAAAAGAAGAAAAGTGAATCATTCTTTCTTTCATACCTTGATTGATAGAATGTGTATCTTTCCTACTTTATATCCCTTCTAATTTTCATCCTCATTTACAAAACGGAGCATTGAGTACAGGGGGCTTACCAAAAACAAAAGATTCAAATGGTAGTATATCACTTCTACTGTATCCCTTACAACTAGTGGATAACCATTTTTAACCCATTATCCAAACACCACTCAAGTGGTTGTCAATTGTCAAGTCACAACCATTTCTCGCTCTCTGTAGTGAACGAGAACTCTATTTTTTTTGTATGTGAATTTCATGACCTGGGGTCTGTTATAATTTGATTCTTGAAAATGATGAACACAGACGAAGAAGCTATCAAATCTCTAACGGATTCTGCCACAATTTCTTTTCTTAATTGTATCAATCTCTCTAGTCCTAATATTCAAAACTATGTTTCTCTACTCAAACATGTAGTCTCTCTCTCTCTCTCTCTATATATATATATGTATGCGTACGAACAGTAATACACACACACACACATATAGTAATATCAAACAGTAACACGCTCAACAAAAAAATAGTAACATCAAACAATAACACGCTTAACAAAAAAATAGTAATATCACCACAACCATTGTGGTGGTGCAAGTAGGAATAAAGTAGTTGCATATTCAGTTGCATAAACGGTTCATATTCAGTTGAACCCGACAAACTCAAAATTGACACATCAACTCGTTTATTTAAGAATAAACACTTTCTCTATTTTCTCGTTTATATTGTAATACAAAATTAACATATTTAACTGGTATTATAAACGTAAAATGGTAATTATTTATAACTATTTATTAAGCACCGACATAATTATAATATAAAAAATATATTTTCACCTATTATTATTATTATATTTATTTAAGTTAATTTTGAGATTATAAAAAAAAGTATGAGCATGGATTTAATTAAGTAAAAATAAAATATTAGCATTAAATTTTTTATTCAAAGTTTACGTGGGTCAACATAAATACAAACACGAACACGATACAAAAATAAAACATGTCAACTCGAAATGACACGATTTGTTAAATGAGTTGAGTTATGTTTGTCTAATGTTCGACATGAACCCGCAATGACTTGACATGACACGACTCGATCGTCACCCCTAATCTTAGCAAGGACAAAAAAAAAATTAATCATTTTTATTTTTCATCCTTCTAAATAAACACAAAAGAAGAAAAGTGAATCATTCTTCCTTTCATACCTTGATTGATATAATGTGTATCTTTCCTACTTTATATCCCTTCTAATTTCCATCCTCATTTACAAAACGGAGCATTGAGTACAGGGGGCTTACCAAAAACAAAAGATAAGAGATGGGTATAAAGACAATATAGTCAAATGGTAGTATACCACTTCTACTGTATCCCTTACAACTAGTGGATAACCATTTTATAACTCACCATCCAAACACCACTCAAGTGGTTGTCAATTGTCAAGTCACAACCATTTCTCGCTCTCTGTAGTGAACGAGAACTCTATTTTTTTAGTATTTGAATTTCATGACCTGGGGTTTGTTATAATTTGATTCTTGAAAATGATGAAGACAGATGAAGAAGCTATCAGATCTCTAACGGATTCTGGCACAATTTCTTTTCTTAATTGTATCAATCTCTCTAGTCCTAATATTCAAAACTCTGTTTCTCTACTCAAACATGTAGTCTCTCTCTCTCTCTCTATATATATATATATATGTGTATGCGTACGAACAGTAATACACACACACACACATAGCAATATCAAACAGTAACATGCTCAACAAAAAAATAGTAACATCAAACAATAACACGCTTAACAAAAAAATAGTAATATCACCACAACCATTGTGGTGGTGCAGGTAGGAATAAAGTAGTTGTAGAGAGATAGTTAGAAAAATGGACAAAACTAGATTAATAATAATTTTCAGACTTCAACTCTTTATGTTTGTGAAATAGTTTGATTCAATTAAATACCTAAATTTTAGTTGATACCAAACAGTATGCGAATTAAAAAATTCAGCATTCAGCATTCAGTGTTCAGTTTTTAGTTTTATCAAACACCACCTAAGTTAATTTTTTCTTCATCCAAGAACTAAATAGCCTTGAGTAATAACACTTCTGCTCTGTTTGGTATGATGAGAAAACGGAAGAACGGAAAATTGAAAGGATGAAAAGTTGGAAGGATGGAAAGTTTGAGGGATAAATAAAACATCATGTTTGGTAAGGAAGGAAAATAGAACGGATGAAAAAGTGGATGAATGAGCTTTCCTTCCAACTTACGAAAATCAATCCCTCCAAATCTGAACGAAAATGGATGGAAAGTTAAGTATTTGTGTGAAAATATATCTTATTTGTCTATATATCTTTTGATATATACATATATTATGAATACATTAATTTCATATATAAATAAAATGATAAAATATGCATTTATATTTTTTTCTAAAAAAATTTAAAAATTTAAAAATTAAAAATTAAAAAAAAAATATTTTACCCTCTTTGTTAGGGGTGTAAATTTTTTATTCAACACGATGACATGACTCAAAATCTACATGAAGTTTTTGACACAAACTCGAAAATGATCTGACACACAAACACAGAATATAAAGGGTTCATATTCAATTGAACCCGTCAAACTCAAAATTGACACATCAACCCGTTTATTTAAAAATCAACACTTTCTCTATTTTCTCGTTTATATTATAACACGAAATTAACATGTTTAACTAGTATTATAGACATAAAATGCTAATTATTTGTAACTAATTATTAAGCATTGACATAATTATAATATAAAAAATATATTTTTACCTATTATTATTATTATATTTATTTAAGTTAATTTTTAGATTATAAAAAAAGTATGAGCATGGATTCAATTAAGTCAAAATAAAATATTAGCATTAAATTTTTTTATTCAAAGTTTATGTGGGTCAACGTAAATACAAACACGAACATGATACAAAAATAAAACAGGTCAGCTCGACATGACACGATTCATTAAATGAGTTGAGTTATGTTTGACTAATGTTCGTCATGAACTCGCAATGACTCGACACGACTCGATTGTCATCCCTAATCTTAGCAGGCACAAAAAAAAATGATCATTTTTATTTTCTATCAATCTAACTAGACACAAAGAAAGAAAAGTGTGTATCATTCCTATTTTACTTCCTTGAATGATAGAAAGTGTATCTTTCCTAATTTCTATCTCTCATACTTTATATCCTTATTTCCCAAATGGAGCATTGAGTACAGGGTGCTTACCAAAAACAAAAGAAAAGAGAAGGGTATAAAGACAATATAATCAAATGGTAGGGGTCTTAGTGTACTTATGTCACTCCTATTTTATCCCTTCCAACTAGTGGATGACCAATTTTAACCCACTATCCAAACACCACTCAAGTCCTAATCAAAAAAACAAACACCACTCAAGTGGTTGTGAATTGTCATGTCAAACGTTGTCTCCAAGGGGTTGTCAATTGTCAAGTCACAACAATTTATAGCTCTCTGTAGTGAACGAGAACTCTATTTTTCTCGTATGTGAATGTCATGACCTGAGGTCTGTTGTAATTTGATTCTTGAAAATGATGAACACAGACGAAGAAGCTATCAAATCTCTTTCGGATTCTGCTACAACTTTTTTCCTGAATTGTATCGATCTCTCTAGTCCTGATATTCAACACTCTGTTTCTCTACTCAAACAGGTACTCTCTCTCTCTCTCTCTCCTCTCTCTATCTATATATATATATATATACGTACGAAAATATTTGCTCTTAGCAGGCCATGGATTATAAGCGTGATTCAATTTGGTTATTTCTTGGTGAATTCATTAAACCTGTCAAAAAATAGTCGCGATTAGTTGATTAAATTTTGATTTAATATTTGTTTTTGATTCTATAATTTCACGGAGGATTTTTATGAAGCACTAAGCGATATTTAGTCTTTTTGCTCCATTTGCAATTCTTGTCCGTTGCATTTTGTATGTCAAATAACATAGCTGAGGAAATCAGGAACATATACATAAAATGATTGGATGAAACTGAAGATCAACTAGCTTGAATGATGCCGAAGGATGTATAATTAATCTAGATTTCAATACCTTTTTTTTTCCCCTCTTTTTCCCCTCTAGAACCATTCTTTTTTTATGTCAATATGTAGCAATTTGTCTATTTTGTCATTTATTTCGAGTATTTTGGTCCAATTTTACAGAAGCACCTTGTGCACAAGCACAAAAGCCCAAAGCTCATTGCATAAAAAAAATCAATTCAGTAATTGAATTGAATCTACACAACCTGCCCTACCTTGGCTGTAAGCAACATGTGAATTGCCACTTGCAAGGGATGCATATTCTAACTTTCCGCATATATACATGATTGACCATCCAAGCTGACGACCTCGTGGTTGTTAGTTCTGAGTAACAACTGAATTGGCCCATTGTGCTGAATTTTTTTATTTGCTAGAAACTATCAATAATTATAGAAAGTTTCAGTGCTTAACCCACATGATGGAATTGGAACAATTGACAATTTTGATAATGGGACAACAGCTTCTTGGAAGTGCCTTTTTGAATGGGTGGACTTGTATCTTTAATTGTTATGAGCGAGTAATTGATTTTCTGTGGGACAACTAAGGTACCTGAATACTGAAAATATCACTTGTTATTTGTGGGAAAGAAGGAGAGTCAGGCCTCCACTATAAAAGTTGTCACCTTGCTGAGAAAGGTTACAATATGCACATGTAATTATTAATCACCGTATAATTATTAATCTCCATAAGTTTCAACAATATTATGTATAAGTGATTGCATAACTACACTTCATTTTCTTGGATTTCTTCATCTCTGTCTAACATACCCGACAATTTTAATGCCCCACTTGTGTCCTTTGTCCTCCTTAGTGGCTCAGTGCCGTCTAGACCCTAATTTATGTGCTTTGTCTCCTCCCCATATATTGGTTACATCTCATCTAAATTGATATTATTTTCTGGGCTTAAGTGTATTGGTTCATCACTTGTGCATTAGGCTTGCTTGGATTCTGGTTTCTTCTACGTTATCAATCATGGAATCAGTGAGGAATTCATGGATGAGGCTTTTTCCCAAAGCAAAAGGTTCTTTGATCTACCCATAAAGGAAAAAATGAAGCTTCTAAGGAACAAGAAGCATCGAGGATATACCCCTGTTCTAGATCAACATTTGGATCCTATCAATCAAGTTCATGGTTAGTTCGTTGCCGTTCTTTTTTGTATAATTGAATGAAGCAATAATATAGCAATATGAATAACGTAATGTAACAGTTTATGCAATGTTGTATTTGATACAAGTTTTAGTGAAGACCTTTGAATATTTTCTTAAATAAGGGGAATGCCAGAAAGACCTATGCAAAAAGAATTCCTTAAGATGTTACCCACACATCATGCACACAATAGTAATGATATCATGGTTGACACAAGTCTTCCTCACTAAAAAGGCCTTGGGTCGAATATCGGTCATACCACTGTTTTCCCCTTCACATCAATCCTATGTACCACTGTTTTCCCCTTCACAATTGAATTTGAACATCAATCATAATAGAAAACTTCTATGCCCCAATCTGTGACGAAAGTTACCAGGAATAGTACTCCCGTGAAACATCTCGGTAATTATCGGTAGATCAAGTGGAAGGCCAGAAGAGTAGGTATGACCGTGGATGATGGTCAAGTGCTACAGATAAATTAGAATGATCTGGTTGACCTGGTCTTCGACATATTGTAATTTGCTTGCATGTAAGGACACATACTTGTGCAAGTCTACATAATGCTGAAGGATAAATTGAAGTCCACACCAATCCCAATGCCCTATATCACAGGACCAACATTTGTTAATGGCCTCTTTTATGTGTTAGTATACGTGTCCATGCAGTACGTGTGTATATATTTTTTCATCTTCCGACTGTATTATTGCCTTTGTACTATGAAACACTGTCCAATGATTTGGCTGCATTTGTCCTACTCCTCTTTTTCTTTCAGTTGGTTGCTTATATGTCATTTGTGGTTTGTCAACATTATATGCGATACTTCGGCAAAAAAGTGATTTTCCTGTTTTATGGATTCAGGAGATTACAAGGAGGGATATTATATTGGTGTTGAAGTACCTGATGATGATTCTGACACAGAGAAGCCATTTTTCGGGCCAAATGTTTGGCCTTCGACAAGTAATTTTCCTAAACAATTCGTTTCTCTTGTGAAGGAACAATTTTTTCTATGTTAAATAGTCTATAAGAATTTCATTGGTCGTGGCACATTTTAATCTCTCTCTCTCACTCTCTCTCGCGCATGCACACACACACACATGTGCACATGCACACTTACGCTCACGTATCCTATTTTTGTTTCTGCTTGTGGGTTTTGTAAAATCTTTTGATTCCTTGAACTATTTGTATGTCTGCAAGATATTTTGCCCGGATGGAGGCAAACTATGGAGAAATACCATCGAGAAGTACTGTAAGTTCGTTAGGCCTCTATTTTATCAAATAGAACTCTAGGTTGTATATGACAGACATATGTACTCCTCCATGCACTACCAAAAATACATGGGGAATAACTCTTGTTCAAATTGGACTTTAACTATTTGGACATGGTTTGAATGTTTGAACAGTTACATTTCATTGATGTTTGTTTAATGAAGACATCAATATGTTATTGGCATCTTAAAGTATGCATCAACTAGGAAGTGTTGTGAGAAGATCACATTATGAGGAAAGCAGAAGATCATGATAATCGAGTATTCTTTAGGGGTTCTCATAGGATGCATTCTTTTGTGATGTATATTGTTTGAAGGCATTTGATTCCTTTATATATGCATATGTACGTGTGTGTGTGTGTGTAGTTACATATATACATATATCATCTACTGTAATTTTGTAGAATCTACCAAATATACGAGCTTACGATTTTTTTCAGTTAGCATCAATTATGCTATACTGCTTTCAGGAACCCTTCTTTGATAATTGGATCTATTCTTTTTATTAGCTAACTGAAGCCCACCACTAATATTCTCTATTCTTTGTGATAACAATTGTTTACGTGTCCCAAAATTTGTCTAACTCGTCCCAAAAAATGGATTCAATTGCACTTCACTCTCAAAATTCTACAATGTGTTATGCTTCACTATTCTTTATGGATTCTTGTATGATGCATTTTTCTAAGATTTCTATTTTTTAGACAACTTTGAATCTTGGGAAAACAAAAGAGATTTCCATCTGAGGTTAAAGATCGAATAACGTTAGCTGCCGAGTTCATGTTATAGACGAAACCTCTTATAGTTTTTGCCTAGTTCTGATGAGACCATGGTGTCTTTTCCTACTGTAAGACTTGTTCAGAAATTATAGAGCCGGACTTTTCGTGTAATGAGCAACCTTGAATTGGTTTTGAATGTAAAAGGCAACATGGAGTCTTGGACTTTGTTCTTCTGTCTAATTCACATTATTTTTTTTCATCTTTCTATGTACGCATTCAGTGAGGTGGCAAAAGCAATTGCAAGACTCATAGCCCTTGCACTTGACCTTGAGGGAAACTTTTTTGATCAGCAAGAAATTCTTGGCAAGCCCATTGCCATGTTGCGCCTGCTACATTATGAAGGTTAAAATTGAAACAAAAGCTACCAAACTCCATTGTGGAGCATGCAAAATTTTTTTTGTTGATTGATGTCACTTGTGTAATGTTGATTCATTGATTGTTCATTAGGTCTAATATCTGATCCCACAAGGGGATTATATGGAGCCGGTGCCCATTCTGATTTTGGTTTGATTACTCTCTTGGCCACTGATGATGTTGCTGGTCTCCAAGTAAGGATGAAGCTGAATTACACTATAAGTCCATTAAGTTCATTCTAATTTTTGATAAGGGATTGTAACTTTTCAATTTGTTTCAGATATGCAAGCATAAGGATGCCAAACCTCAGATCTGGGAACATGTGGCACCATTGAAAGGGTGGGTTAATATAGCATTGAGATTGTTAATCATGGAACAGAAGATGAGTTATACACAATCTATCGAAGTTGTGTTTGCCAGTCAGTATGTAATTCATGCATTTTGTTGGTAATTTATTATGACCCAGTTATCCCACATCGGGTAAATACTAGGGTAAATATGGATTTGTTTTACATTGACTGGCTCACTACCTATGCGATTGAGTTTTTGGGTGGTCGAGTTGGCTCAAACATGTATGGTGGATCCCATCTTGCCAACAAGTGGTATCAAAAGCATGTTGGGCTCTTCCATTGTGGACTCTTCATCTTCCCGACAAGTGATATCAAGGGTTGTCCATATTGAGCCAACTTCCAAAGCTTAAACTTAATGTACTGGTACTGAGTTCATCCTATATATATTCGAATATCCTCATGCTGTATTGACCCAAGTTGGACTTTACTCCAATATTATGCTTGCGAAACATATGTCGCAATGACTTTATCCTTGTGGTGTCCTGAACAATAGCTTACCATCATTGATGTTGTTGATAAATTTCCTCTTTAGTTTATTGTAATCTTACTTCCTTAGTGATTGATATTCGACTTCCAGAGCATTTATTGTAAATCTCGGTGATATGCTGGAGCGCTGGAGCAACTCTATGTTTAGGTAAGATGTATTTTCATTAGCAGTTGTTATCCTGCTGGCATCCAGTACCATAGGCGAGTTGGAGATGTTTGATACATTTTAGGAGCTTTGAAATAAGTTCCTTCCAGAATTTTCATAAATTCTTGCCTAAATTTGAATATTAGATAACTAGTTCCCACTTTTAGTTTAAGTTTCAAAGTTTGACTATAATGTCTAGTTGTCTACCTTTTGACTTGGAAATGCTTCATGGTGAAACTGGCACAAGTTATCAATCTTTTGATGAAATGTCTTATTCAACAATTGCGTATTGTTGAATTGCTAAACTACCGTCATTGTGGGTTTAGTTCTCATGGTGATTTGCTTGCTCTTAGAGTTATTTAATTATATCTTCTGAACAGGAGGACATACCAATTTCATGGAAGTGTGACCTTTTGTTAATTCTCTCCAGGTCGACATTACATCGAGTTTTGGGGAATGGTCAAAGATATTCTGTAAGGCCCTTCTAAGCTTTTAAATGTGTTTCTAACATACTATAATGATTGTTACTAGATGTTTTCTCCCTTTTAAGCTATACATTATTAGTTTATTATATATGTTTGACGAATTGATTACACTTTGGTCTCTGACACTTTGCATTAATATTTAGGCCCCATTTGCAACCCCATTTTTAACTGTGCTGTTCAAACTTGAAACAAGTTGGTGGTGTAACCCCTTCCAAACTATTACCTTATTAGGTTTCTCTACTCATAGCTGGGGTGTTGTATCTGGGCTACCTGGGTAGGGTAAAGCTTTCCAGACTAATCTTGTGGGAGTATTTACCCATAGTCGATTCGTTTTGAGTTAAATGTTTTAACAGTACTAATTAGTTTATCACTTTATCCATTCTGTCATCATACTATAAGTGGAAGCAAAACCGAGTTACAAGTGCTGCAATGTTTAAGTGGTTCCTCAGCATGTTCTAGGTTTGAAGCGACTAGGAAGCATTCACACCAATTACAAAGTGCTTCAGCTAATTTTTTGGATAATTTATTATTTATATCTATTGGACATTACTTCTACTATCCAAAAATTACAAGGTTGTTAAAAATTATAGTTATCTCAAGGTTGTTTGAGGTTCTGCTATTGAAAATTATAGTTAGGTTGTGGAAAGCAATTATTTAAGTTTGCAAGTGTTAATGACATAAATTCAATTTTGAAACAGTAGAATCCTTTTATAAAAGGAGGTTTTTGCATGTTGGAATTCAAATTGAAAACAACTTTATAATGTTAGGCAACTTTTTTAGCTTTCAAGTGGGAGCACATATGCTCAACATTTACGGAGAATTGAAAATTATAAATGTTCGTGTTAAGTTTATTGCTTTCCCAAAGCATATCCATCTTTTGGCTGCCAAAGCTCAGCTAGAAATTCTTCAAATTACCATGCCAATGAGGCATGTGCTCACTGCTCAGGCGTGAAAAGAAGTTTCTCATGGCCACGGCTGGTTTCTGGATAGCTCTAACTACCTGCCTTTCAAGTTCCCACTTATTTTTCTGTATGAGCATGTGGTTCGAAATAATCTGATTCTGCTTAGTTAGATATGAATTAGTATTACCGTGACCAATGAGATTAGTTGTATCGTATTATTATTATTGATCTTTTGCAATTTTCCTATGTTGACTTCAGTTGGTCATTTCTCATTACACATTGCACTACTCATTTTGACCTATTCCTCTGAGGATGGGTCTTGGGGTAGTAATCAAAATTTTCCATTGTGACTGAGGCATCATGATTGAAGTCATGGAGACAGCCTTGAGTACATCCACCCTTCCCAACCCGTAATAGCAAAAGTCTCGTGCACATGTTGTCTTATTTTGGCTTATTCCATTGATTCTACATTTTTTTTCCATGCCACTTCTTGTTATGTCTTGCTTCTTGATATTTCTCATTCTTGATATCTGTATATGAACCAAAAAAGATGGTAAATGTTTTGTATATTCTCTCTGGGTGCAGATTGCATTCTTTGTGGAGCCTAATCACGATTGCCTTGTTGAATGCTTGCCAACGTGCCAGTCAGTAGAGAACCCTCCCAAGTAAGTACAAGACAACAACACTACGAACACAATCTTACAACTTAGAGGTTTAACTGAACCTCTGGTTGATCCAATTAGGGATCTTAGGGCACATAAAGTGGTTCATCAAGATTATCACCTATTGTGATTGATGAGTATAGCAATCGCCCAAGAGTTCTTGAGGCTCAGCCTGTGAAGACTCCTCCCATTACCGGGATGTAGGTCTTCCAAGAGCATTACCGCCCTCCACCAAAGGATTTCGGCTACTTGGGTACTGCTTCCATATTGTGCTTCGGCTTATATGGGAGTGGGGAGACGACTCTTTCCCCGATGTGGGACAGAGGTAAAGGCTACTGTGGGGGTTTGTCCCGCAGGTCAGCCGAAATCCTTTGGTGGAGGGTGGTGATATCCCGGTAATGGGAGGTTAACCCTTGGAAGACAGGGTCCCGGTAATGGGGCAGGGTCTTCACATAAAAGGCGCCTTTTATGTGAAGACCCTGCCCCATTACCGGGACCCTGTCTTCCAAGGGTTAACCTCCCATTACCGGGATATCACCACCCTCCACCAAAGGATTTCGGCTAACCTGTGGGTCAAACCCCCACAGTAGCCTTTACCTCCGTCCCACATCGGGGAAGGAGTCGTCTCCCCACCCCCATATAAGCCGAAGCACCATATGAGAGCAGTACCCAAGTAGCACAAGGTACTTGGGTACTGCTCTCATATGGTGCTTCGGCTTATATGGGGGTGGGGAGACGACTCCTTCCCCGATGTGGGACGGAGGTAAAGGCTACTGTGGGGGTTTGACCCACAGGTTAGCCGAAATCCTTTGGTGGAGGGTGGTGATATCCCGGTAATGGGAGGTTAACCCTTGGAAGACAGGGTCCCGGTAATGGGGCAGGGTCTTCACACAGCCAATAGCCCTTGGACCATGGGATGGCCCATAAGCCTGGCGATATGACTGGGCCATAAATTGTGGGTATTGGCTCGCTAGACTTGACAGGTTGGGCCAATTAGGGAATAACATACCTATTAGCTCGATGGAGTTCAAAACAAATGCTGAATTTGAAAAATAGAATTAGAAAAGTTGAAATAAAACGTCGGGTTGGCTGTGACTGTATTTTTCTGGGGCGTAGCTGTCCGAGCCAGTGATCTGTGATTGACCCACCCTACGGCTCGTCTGTGTGTGTTGACTGGCGGGTCAAGGTATTCTGGGACCATTGCCCACATTTAAGAGTAGAGTTGATAATTGAATCGAGTTTGAACATTTTTTTTAAATTTATTTAGAAAAACGAACCTAAAAAGTTTGACTTGAACAAAATTCAGCTCGTTTATATATAAAATAATCAAGCTACTTGGGCTCGACAAAATGAGTCGAGCTTAAATAATTTTTTAGACTTGTTTAAAAAAATGAGCTCGACAGATTCAGCTCGAGCTCATAAAACTCGGCTCGATTATCAGCCCTAGTTAAATAGCCCCCATCCTCCACGCACACAAAATGGGCCCACCTTGTGGATACTGAGGCTGCTTTTCCTTTGCCAGGTATCCTCCAATTAAATATGAAACGTACTTGCTGCAGCGATACAAGGAGACTCATGCTGATCTGAACTCTTATAAATAAAACCAAACTTAACTGACAATGGCAGGGGACTTTTACCTGCAATGCTTGCCACTGAATCTGTACTGTGGAGTTTGTTGCCTATACTACCTAGGTGTGTATATAAGTGTACCAACGCATTAAGTTTGAGCATCATTCTAGAATAAGGTCTTACATGCTTTGTGTGCCTATCGAATCTAAAGTCGCAATTAGGTTGGATTAGTTTCCACGTTGCGATTAAATTTGCTAGTCAGGGTTAGGGAATTACCACCAGACTCTTTGTATACTAAATCTGTAAGTTTATCAGGTGTTAAGGGAAATATTTACATTTTAAATTTTATTATTATTACTAGCCATTGTCAATAGTGCCCGATAACATTTGATGTGTTATTCTTTGTTCCACCTGGAGAACATCTTACGTCATTAATAGATATTCTAATCACGTTCTCTTTGAATTTAAAAACGTAAATCTTAATCTTCAATTTGTATAATCACCCATAACCAAACGCATCCATTAAACCCAAAATTTATATTATTAGGGTAGCTCAAATTCAAGATGTGCAGATTTATATCATGCCAAAAAATTTTAAGGTAGGGCTATTTCTACCTTTTAAATCTCTTTTTCTACCCCATTAATTTTCTTATTTCAAACTACTAAGTTCACCACTTCTATACTCATCCCATTAACAACTAAGTTCATCTTATTTATCTCATTAGACTAAACTACTAAATATATATTTCAAAGAAATCAAAACAAAAAAAGTAATTAAAGTCAAATTTCAATGTTCAAATGTGATTTAGAACATTTTGAGGTATTTTGTGATATTTTGACATATTTTCACCGTTGTCTTTAGAATATTTTGATGTGACGCCCCTAAAACTGGGGGTCCTTTGTTTACCGTTGACCATTCGTCAACTCGCGGAAAAACCCATGATTGTCGCCCAATCCGACATCACGTCAATAGAATCCCTTTAACTGGGATTGTTACCTACACGTATAACCTGTATGTGTTCTACCATTTTACCAACCAAGTTCTGATATACCCCAATTTATCCTTATTTATTGTCCATTTATATCCTTGGAAACAAAGAACCTAAAGTCCAAAAGCATGGCAAGGCAGTTTTAAAGTTTTAAGTTTCAATTTTTTTTTGAGAACCTACCGGTAGGTTTTGTCTACTGGAAAAGTCCTATCAGTAGGTTTTGCATGATAAACAAAATTATGTCTGTGCACGATCCTACCGGTAGGTTCTGCCCACTGGACATCGATCTACCAGTAGGTCTTGTCCAGATTTGTCTATTTCACCTGTTTCTTATTTCCAATTCATTTCAAAACATATTATTTCGATCCAACTCACGTATAAAGAAGATTTTCATATTACATAAGGTCCATTCCAATTCTATTACATTCATTCCCATGAATTTACATATCAGAAAAAGTTGTCATAATCATTTACAATCTTTTAAAATAAAGCATATCTCGGCTTTCTTCATCCTTGAGGTCCCATGCGAGGGCCTTTCACCGAAGCATATCCCGCACCTGAAATGTTTTCCCGTATAAGGTGAGCCACTCCCAGTAGAGTATTTCCTATAGAAGCTACTCCCCAAACCTAAGTGCATATAAAATGCTAGCATGCAACATTTAACAATCAACAACCATTCAAATCAAGGTTAAGCAAATCTATATTGGAATATAACATTTCATGCCATGATATGAGATGACACCCACTAATGCAACTTAACCTGAGCCCTCCCTGGCTCCTTTCACCCATGCAATGTCATGAGTATAAAATCAGACTTTCCAAGCCCCCGTAATTAGCGTTACACACCCAATGACTATATTTTTTTTAAATATCTCCGAGTCTTTTTTGGGGTGAGTTTTTATGGATTTTCACCAACGGCACCCAACCAACACGAGATCTATGAACTTCCACCAATGGTGCCGCCTACACCGACACACTTTATGGGCTCTTATACCAACGAAGTGCGTATCCGATTATCGGGTATCTCACCCGAGGGATTGTCTAGCTCTTCTTGCTATCCCTAACCCAATTCTTTTTCCATGCAACTGTGCGACTCAATCGGTTCTTTGATCCAACTTTCCCGAGCCCACCCATCATCCACCTACGTGGTGTTTGATGTCAACTATGCACACACACACCCACACACATGTCAATGGATGTGATTACTCCGTGTAAATGCAATGTAATGCACCATTGCTAGATCAATGACATGCCCCATATGTAGTGAATGCCATATGAGCAAGTTTAACCACCTTTTTACATATTTCATGACCAATTATATCATATGCATATAATCACCAAACTTTATCACAATGTTAATGTGTCAATAAACTTACATCAACATTTAATATCCAATAATATATCTGAAGCATGTTATTACATAATACGTACCCATAACACACTTCAATCACAAATGCATAATATAAACACATAGCATACCCACATAATATCAAATTCCATGGAATTACACAAGTAATTTCCACATTTTAATTCCAAGCTAGGAAATTTATTTCAAACCATTTCAATACCCATTTTTCATCAATTTCACAAACATGGCAAGTGTTAAGTCTCTAACAACCTACACATCTCATATAACACCCTGGGTTGGAAAATAAACAAAAGTAGGAAGGAACCCTACCTCTTGAAATATAAAATCAACTTAGAAGACCTTCAAGAACACCAATGGAACCTAAGCCTTGATTTCCCCCAAATCCCATTTTTGGAAGTTCGGTAAAACCCGTCGTTTTTGGTGTGATCGCGTAGCCCTTGACGCGTACAACAATCTTTGTTCTTGGCTCGAGTGGATTTGAGCACTCGATCTCCGTAGATCGTAGATAGAAGTAGAGAATCCAAGTTTTTCCCTTTCTTCCTCTCACATGTTAGAACCGGCTAATGAATAGGGGAAGAAATCAGATTTTCCCCCTATTTATACCCTCTATTTACTTGGCCACAACGCGCCACAAGGCTCTCTTTTTTCCAGGTCTGTTTTAGCCCCGAAACGATTAAATTTCATCTTGGTTTAAGTTCAAAATATTTTTATTTTAACTTGCCTCAAATGATTTTCCAACTTTCAAAATTTTATTAAAAATCTCATTTTTAGGTCACCCAAGACTCGATCGCCTCGTAAAACGTAAAAAATTCGACTCTCGAAATTCGACAAAAATTGATGGGATAACTAGATTTCGCGAGAAGAATCCAACGGTGAGGTCCGTTTTGTCATCCAAGATCTAAAAAAATTTAAATTTTTAACCCGTACCATAATGACAAATTACTATTTTGCCCCTTTAGTAAAAATTTCAAATTTACCCGAATTTTACATTTTTCGCCCCTTAAAAGAATTTCGTCCCCGAAATTCACACACAAATACACATTTAACCGCATGCCTATGCTACATTAATATTACACTTAAAATTATAGAAATGTACCTCCATCCTCGAACAAGAACGAATGATTGGTACGTATGGCATCCTCACGCTCCCACGTCGCCTCCTCCACACCTCGGTGCTGCCACAACACCTTCACTAGCCTCACAGTCTTGCCTCACAAAACTTGCTCCCGGCTATCCATGATATGGACTGGTCTTTTCTTGAAGGTCCCATCCACATCAACAATCAACTCACCCCAATCCACTATATGTGTCGGATCTGGAGTACACTTTCAGAGCATAGAGACATGGAACACCACGTGAACACCCGATAAATTTGGTGGTGACGCCAATCTATAAGCCACTATACCCACTCTCTCGAGTATCTTGAAGGGCCCGATAAACCTCGGCGACAACTTTTCCTATTTTTCAAATCTGACCACTCCCCTCTTAGGCATTACCTTCAAGAAGACGTGATCTCTCACCTCAAACTCTAGAGGTCGCCGCCGTTTGTTGGCGTAGCTCTTCTGCCGGCTTTAAGCCGCGAGTAGATGCTTCCATTTCAAATCCACCTTCTCCGAGATGTCTCTGATCAAATTTGGACCAGCAGAGGGTCTCTCTCCCACCTCTGTCCAGCACACCAGAGAACGGCAAGGCCTCCCATATATTGCCTCCTAGGGTGTCATATGAATGCTCACGTTGATAACTGTTGTTGTAGACGAATTCCACTAAGGATAAATGCTCTTCCCATCTACCTTTGAGATCTAGGATATATGTCCGTAGCATGTCCTCTAATATCTGGATGGTCCTCTCCAATTGACCATCCGTCTAAGGATGAAAAGTTGTGCTCATTATCAACTATGTCCCTATGGCCCGTTGGAAATTCTCCCAAAAGTGAGCCATAAACCTGGGATCCCGATCCGATACTATAGTTACGGGTACCCCATGCAACCGGACAATCTCCCGTATATACAATCTACAAAACTCCTCCAGTGTGAAGGTCATCTGCACTGCCAAAAAGTGTGCTGACTTCGTAAGCTAGTCCATTATCTCCCACACTGCGTCATGTCCCTATGATGTTCGTGGCAAGTGGGTCACAAAATCCATCGTGACATGCTCCCACTTCCATTCTGCCACCTCCAAAGACTGGAGCAACCCCGCTGGTCTCTGGTGCTCAGCCTTGACCTGCTGACACGTGAGACATCGTCTGACAAAATTCTCAACGTGTCTCTTCATTCCGCTCCAATAATGCTGGCGACGAAGATTATGGTACATCTTTGCGCCACCTGAATGCACAACAAATCGGGAGCAATGGAACTCCCTAAGGATCTCTTCTCCCAGATCCACTAACTGGGGAACCATAACCCTTCTCTTATATCGAAGACTGCCATCCAAGTGAATGGCCTAGCCCTTTCATCGGTACCTGTCTGCACTTGATCTCTGATGGATAATAACTTTGGGTCCTATCCCTGAGACTCGATCACCCTACTCAGTAGGGAGGGCATAGCCACCAAGTTCCCTAAAATACCCTGAGCCTGATCCCTGTAGTGTAGCCCGAATTGTCCTACCGTCTCAAGCATCTACCACTCCTAGGAAGCCATACTAGCCAACACTCCCCGTGACCTCTGGCTGAGTGCATCAGCCATCACATTTGCTTTACCGGAATGGTAATACAAAGTGAAGTCGTAGTCCTCCAAATACTCCATCCACCCACGTTACCTCATGTTGAGGTCCTGCTGTGTAAATATATACTTCAGACTTTTGTAGTATGAAAATACCTAAAACTGTTCACCATATAAATAGTGGCGCCAAGCCTTCAATACAAAGACAATGACCACCAACTCCATGTCGTGCATAGGGTAATTCTGCTCGTGGTTCTTTAGTTGTCGAGAATCATAAGCCACCACCCTCCTAGACTGCATCAAAACACATCCAAGTCCGTCTCTGGAAGCATCACAGTACACCGTGTACATCTGTCCCCTTTCCGAGACTATCAAAATAGGAGCTGAATTAAGCCTCCTCTTTAACTCCTAGAATGCCTTCTCGCACGATTCATTCCACTCAAACTTGACCCCCTTCCGGGTCAATCTCGTCATAGGTGAAACTAGTCGGGAGAAGTCTTCAATGAATCTTTGGTAATATCCTGCCAATCCCAAGAAATTACGTATCTCGAAGACTGACTTCGGCCTCTCCCAACTCATGACCGCCTCAACCTTCTCTGGGTTCACGGATACACCCGAAGCCGACACTACGTGTCCCAAAAATTTTACCTCTCTAAGCCAAAATTCACACTTGCTGAACTTGATGTATAACAGGTGGTCCCTCAAGGTCTGGAGAATAATCCTCAAGTGACCATCATGCTCCTTCTCAGACTTGGAGTAGATTAGAATGTTATCAACAAACACTGTAACAAACTGATCTAAATAGGGTTGAAACACCCTATGTATGAGATCCATGAATGTCGCTGGGGTATTCGTCAACCCAAATGGCATCACAGTGAACTCAAAATGCCTGTACCGCATTCTGAATGCCTTCTTAGGGATATCTGCCTCCCTAATCCTTAACTGATGGTAGCCAGTGCGAAGATTTATCTTGGAGTAGACTCGCGCTCCCCTTAGCTGATCAAACAGATCATCAATTCTCGGCAAAGGGTACCTATTCTTGAT